CTTTTCGGCTAAAAGAAACAAATCTATGCATTAGTTAGTTTCAAAGCTCAGTGAGTGAGACCAAAAAAAGACACAAATAATTGTAAGTATTAAAGAATAATTTGACCCAAAGGTGTTCAGAATCAAAACTGTGATTAGATTCGTTCTTTACTTTATATATCTCAAACTACTGTTGTATAACATTAGCTTTACTTGACATTTCGGCACAATAAATATAATCAGTAATATTATTAATCATCAATAATAATAATAACAATTTAAGACAAAAACATTTAAAAATAAATAAATAAATAATAATAAATAATAGTAACAATTAATAATAATAGTGACAAAAATGATTTTAAAAAATAGATAGAGTTGTAACTAATTGTGGGGAAACAAAAAATTTAATGTGAAAAATAAAACTTGATGGTAGTATTAATTTTGCGTAATTCAAAGCGAATAAAGTCAGTTTTATGAAATTAGATTTGTAAATTGCGTGTGCAATTTTTGAACATGTAAAAGTTAAGATTGAGATGAAAGTAAGTGCTGCCTGACGACTATAATGAAAGAGTGGATGCCACGATTGCTAATGGCTTTGTTATTTCAAATTGACTAAACGGCTGTGACATCAAATGATTTTTCAGTTCTGTCGCAAACCACATTAAATATTAAAACTTCTCTGTGATTGTTGTTGAAATTGAAAAAAGATTATTAATATAAGTTCCTGAATCTCTTGGCTGCAACCACGCATTTAATATTTGCTCATGTTACCTGAAATAAAATTTTATTCAAAAACTGGCCCGCTTGGTTTGCACAGTCAATTTATTTTGTTCCTTGCCTGATGCAATTTCATTTAACAGTTGTTGGACAGCGTAGAGAATGAGTGAAAGAGAGAAATGAAGTTTGATCTTTTTTTTTTCAAATAGTTTTTGATAAGTTTGTAACCAGCAGTTAGCTCATTTTTCACACAGGAATAATCGCCTTTTTTTGTGAGTGTTGTATTTCACACTAAATATAGAAAGTTTTATTTCGATGTTTCTGTAATCAACAGTCATAGAGACGGTTATAATAGATTTTCCTGATGTATATTTAAACTTATCATATGATGTTGTATTTTTTTCTCAAATAAATTAAAAATGCTATATGAGCATGCAAAGGAGGCAATATTTTACACCAGTTTGTTTATTTCATATAACGTTTTGCAAGTTTTCGTTATAGGTATTCAATGTTTGATAAGCAGCAGTTAGAAAACCATCAAAAATTTTGCCAAATGTCAATTGTTTTCGAATATTTGCGGTAATAAGAAATATTATAAACAACAAAATTTGAATGCTCAAATGAGGAATAGAAGAATTAGAAAAATCAAATCTGTTCGTTTACTTGTATATATTTACTGGTATCATTCACTATAAGAATAACTTTTTCGGAAAAAGCAAATAATTTGTTTGTTTCAAAAAATGTTTTTTCACGTCAAACGGATTAAAAAAATCACTGAATAATCATCGAAGTGAAATTAGTAATAATGACAAAATTAGTATTGTTTGAAAAAGGATGCTTTCCATGAAGATGTATTTCAATAACTGACAGCATATTTGTACCTTTCCACACGTTAAGGCACCAAAAAATTGGATCTAAGAATGTTTGCTGTATGATTATGATGCCAGTCGAATTACTTATCTGCAGTTTGAGTAAGAAAGTCGGCAAAGGCCTTATTGCTTCTATTCACAATTTGTTGAATTTTTGCAGCTCATAAATTCGATTATGTTAAATTTAATAGACAACGAAGTTAGATGAAGAGAATGTATTGATAAAGTAAATAAACTTGAAGTTTTTATACTTAAATATGTTGAAATAAAAGCTTGTTACCAGCGTTAAGTTTTCCATAGTATACTTCTATACAGTGTATGTCAAAGTAAAGTATACAGCCCTCTTTTCTTACAAAAATATTTCTGTTAAAAAGTGCAAAGTAAAACTTAAAAAGCTGAATAGTTTAAGAATATTTACAGATATATTAACTTTTCAAAGCATTTTTAATCTAAGATCTAATGCTCAAAAAGTACTTTCATTTCAGGAACTCAAAATGAACATTCTACTTCTGACTTTGTTACTAGCATAAAAAGTATTTATTTATTTATCTGATTTACTTATACAAAAATTTATGTGCTAAAATAAATCAGACTTGGCTTTTTTTGAACATTTTCTACTTATTCATATAAACCGTTTTAACTAGTACTAATCTTAATTTTTGATTGAGACTTAAAAATAAGTTACTATTACAGTGAATTGAGAACTTGTATAAAATTTTTCATCTTCTGGAAATTTTCGCTTAGTTTCTGTTTTGTGCTTGTAAAGTTTGTAACAACAAATTTATTTCTAATGAATCTACAAAACTTCATTGAAAATTTTATTGTAACAGCTATGAAATGAAGCATCCCAATTTGCTGAAGAACGATTAGTATTATAATTAACCATTGGTAAAAATATTTTGCTTTCACATTTTCTGATTATAATGCATTTTTTTTTGTTTAATCATTCTGTCAAAAACTTAAGCAAAAGAAAGTTTACTATATTTCATTCGTATTTTAATTCTATAATAATAATAACTTCAATAAACTTCAGGTATAAGTCAGAAAAAGCGGCTTCCACTAAATGGGTAACATTCATAAATCACCTAAACAAGGGTCTCCTGAATCAAATCTAAATGAAAAGGAAGGAGCAAAGCATTCTCCTGATATTTTGCCCAAGAATGGTTCAGCGTGTCTATGCAGTATTACCGAAATAGACGATTTGATGAATTTAGTGAGTTTACTAGTTTACTTAAGCTAGCCTTATTTAAAGCACTGAAAAATATTTTTAAGTTTACGACATTTTAACTTCTGCTTAATCTGAAATTAGAACCACCACAATAAAAACAATACAAAATGATATATTTTAAGTTTGAGATTGTGGAATTTTTGATTACAATTTTAACCATCGTCAAAGAACGCATTATGGGATAAAATATTTGATAACTATGATTACAGTAGTTCAGTATTTATTCCACTGAACTCACCTTGAATTATTGTTAGCCGCTTTAAGATCAAAATATATGCTGCATCTCTAAAAATTTTAATTCACAACTGATATTATAATTGTAAATTTTTGAGCAACAAAGATGAGTTTGTTGTGAAGTGCCATGTGAACTGAAAGTAGCCACAAAAAGCTTGGACATTTTATTGTTCAGAACTTTTTAAGTTCATTTATTCGAAATTTTGAATAGGTGGGAATATTTGAAAAAACAAAAATTTGAAGTGCAATCAAAAAATATAAAATGTTAACTATAATTTCGTTATTCTTTATTGCATTTTCATGTTTAGCTTTATCATGGAACATTTGTTATAAGCTATCTATCGAGTATTTGTATTATAAGTTTAAAGCAACCACAGCAGCTAATTCAATCAAGCAATCACCCAAATCCCAAAATTTTATTCAAAAAACTGAGTAACCTTTTCAGTGGTAGCACACTAATTCTAAATTTCTGTGAGCATTAAATGTAGAGTTTTTTTGAGGTCGTACTATGTTGGTATAAAAAATGATTGCGAATAATTCAGCTAAAAATCAGTCAAGTGATATTCTCTCAAGACTCAATGTTTTTGCTAAATATTCGTGAGCATGAAGCAGTAGTATTATGTTTTTGATGATTATTTACTGAGTTCGATAACAATTTTGAAAATGTTAATAATATATTCTTTTTTTCCCTATATATTATATTGTACACAATGTTTGCAATGATTAAATTGATGGTTTGCACTCATCCGTCATTTTCGTTTCTTTCATTTTTATTGCACTCAAAATTAAATTAAAAACTGTTATTATGTAGTTTTTAAACAATTTATGTGTTTTTTTAGAATTAAGCTTCTCTTATTTCTTATTATCATCACTTCATAATTAATGGCTATAATTATTATTGATGTTTTACCGCCATTGTTGATATTATTACTGTGATAAAATTAAATTTGCCATCATGAAATGTTAATGAGATTAGTATGTCTTGTAACACAAACAATTTATTGAAGAAAGTGATAAGTTTGCATTCAAATCAAATTTAGAAGAAACGATAATATGTAGTGACCTCTTCACAAACTTTGTTCTAATTAACTTTTATGATTTCCTGGTTATTGTTTCTACCACGTTAATCTTGTTGCACTCGCCTTTAAACTTCTTTTCAATCCGTTTAATTTAATGGGTTCTGCACATTTTCATCCCAAATCTTGTCCTTTCTGAGTCATATCTTATGATGATTTCAAAAAGCTACAAAATCAGAGATAGATGCACTCCCTATTACCTTCAGCTATATTTAAGATGTAGTTGAATGATTCGGATCTCCCATCAGAAATATTTGGTTTCATTATTAGCTGAAGTAATCTTAATAGCACTCATGTTTCGAAATTGTTGAAAGAATTTTAACTGTTAAAAAGCAGAGAGAAAGAAGGAAGATAAGGTAATCATCTCAATGGTACTCTCACCAGAATGTGATAAAAATGACAATTATGAAAACAATTATGACCATTATTGTAAGAAAAATGCATACAAAGATCGTTGGATTTGATACCAAATTCTAATCACAACATTCATCTTTTTCGAATTGTGCAGCAGACTGCAATCAAAGAAGCAAAGAAATAAATGTGAAATCAAGAGCAAAATTTGCTGCAAATTAATTATCACTTCAATATATTATAAAATTTATACCTCGTAGCTATTCCAGATACTGTAGGAAAATTTGTAGCTGGAAAATAATAATATTCAGGCAACATACTTTTTCACGAATATCAGTGTTAAAATAAGATAGATTTCTTTCTGAAATATTCGAAATAGAAAACAAGTGAAATCGAATTTTCTGAATTTTTATTGAAATATTTTAAATTTTAGTACTCGCAAAAACATATAATTTTTTTGAAATAATAAGTAAAATAATAATAGTATTACACTTTTTCAATCAATTTAAATGCTATTATTGACTATTTCTCGCAAACCTTTGAATGCTAAAATTACAGCGATCAACAACACTGGATGATGCTCATTTGTGTTCATCAAAAAACTTTATGATCGGTAACAAAAAAGCGAAATCGAAAAGTCTTCACACACTGCCAGTAGAAAAGGCAGATGCTTGTAAAATACCACTCTACAAAAGGTTTCCTTATATATTATATTTTATTCAAATAATTTTCATCAGTAAAAAACTTTGAACCAGAAAAAATGCCAAAAAATATTTCATATAATTGATCTGAATGTGACTGAAGACGGTATTATGATTAATCATAAAATATTAAGAAGTGAATTCAAAAAATAATCAAAACATCTTAAATAAAATTGGAAATATGGAAAATTTCACTGCAGCTGCCGATGAATTTTGGATGAATATGCAACTTTTTAAAAATATTCAGATTAACTGTGGCCTATCCGAAAAATTGCGTTTTAAACAATAGTATGCAAGCTGAAATTGTCGATTCTTGGAGACTTATTTTGCAAAAGTACGACAGTGATCACTGTAAAATTGGCTTGGAAATTTACGCTGTTAGTTTTGAAAATTTTGAGCAGATTTTAAATTAGTATGCTTTCTAGATATCAGTCTTATTAGTAATAATGGAAAATGCAAAAATCTGATTTTATGTGAATTGCTTTAAATTGTTTTGTGTAAATTTATGATTAGAACAATTTTTCTAATACTTTGAGCGATTACTGCAGCTTGAATGCTCTTGTGCTTTTCAAAGGAGTAAAGATTTTATACTTTGTAGAGGATTTTTAAAGAATGCCCCGAACTTCGTGATGTCTTTTACATACCTGAGCAAGTAGAAAATCTCAATGATTATCTACCATTTCATCGCTCTGGCAAACTGTTTGCATCAGTGATTGATTTATGTGTCCGAAATATAGGCAACCTCGAAACTGAAATGGGAGCCGTTTTGGTGGGTTTGTGGTTTAATCTTCAAATTGAATAAATTTGAATCTTATAGTTTAAATTTATTCATAGTTACCTTTTAATCGGAATCAATATGATTCATTTTGAAACATTTCGATTCATTTCAAAATTTGTAACTATATGCATTTGAGCCAAAATTTTCACCATATATGTAGATCAACTAGCATATTTATCATAAAAGATCTACCACGGAATCATTCAAATGATGTCTGCTATTAAACTGTTTTCACATTATGCACTCTTTCATCGAAACCTCTTTTTTTTTTAAATTGTGTTGAAAAGTGATTACCAGAATGAAAACTTAGCCATGGAAAATGTAATAAGCTCGTCTTTGAGGTCATATTTAACTTTATTAACAAAATTATTCCGATTGATATTTGGAAGGCCCCTATGGTCTGAGAAATAAAAAGATTATTTCATAAAAATTTCATTAAGTCAGTGCATTTCTATACCTTATCACTATTTCTAAATAAATCTCTTATTACGCAAAAAAAAAAAGTGAAAAAAATTGGTTTCCTGCCGCGTTATCAAAATTTTAATCATATATTCGAAACTGAAATTTGACTTCTATAATTCAGACAGCATATGGACGCCGACATTATTATCGTCGAAAGCAAGGCTTTCGTCTTTCGTATTTTACTATTTTTGATCAGAGCATATTGGATTTTATTGCGGAAAATATTACGGATTCTCAAAGAGCGGAAAAAATCTTAGGTGGATGGTATTTACTGATCTCATTTATCAGAAACAAGATGGCAAATGGTTTCGAGCTAGAAAAGCAAAATGATTGGGAGTTACGACGTAGGTTAAAGTAATACGAATTTGCAGCTGATCCTATTACGTCGGTGACTTCATTTGCAGTTTTATATGCTGAAAATACGTGGACTAATTTTTAAATTATCATCAGTTTTTTGCGCAGTTTATCTTTCACATTAAAAATGAATTGGATCAAAGATTCTGAATTAAAGTAAGTACTCAAACAATTCTTCAATTTTTTTAAGCACAGTGCTAGAAAAGTTTGAAAAATTTCATGCTGTCACTTTAAAAATATGTGGGTTCAGCCTTCATG